AGGATCAATCAGCATAAATTTTTCACCACCGTATGTTTTCGGTGTGCCTTTGCGCGATTTTTTGAAATTTTTCCCGCTAAGCCAGACATATCAGCTCATATTTGCATTGCGAATTTTCTTCGTCATGGACATTTTTTGCCCGTGAAAGTAAATTGAGCTTTCCAGCCCAGCTGCATTTCATGCACAGGCACGTGAAAATTTCATGTAGGCACTTTTGTAACTTCAGAATTGAAGTAGCTAGAAAACTGGGAAACTTTCTGAACATATCCAACAGCGGCATTTGACTAGGTGGACACAAAAATGACTTTCACGTTCCTTTCATGTCTCACTGACGTCTTCCGTATGCACAAGTGATTTTTTAGTTTTCAGTCACGAAACGCCCAATTTTAAAGCCTCTGATTTGAGGTTGAAATTATTTGGTCGTACACATATGATTGTTGTTTCTCACACTGTGTTATTTCATCACTGTTATCAAGGCAAAAACCAGAAAATTATAGGATTTCACGTTACCAAAACAGTTCGGCGGAGCAGAAATCATGAAAAACCAGAATGCCGAAAGCAAAAAACAAGCCGAGGTCGAGGAAAACGAGAGAGCTGCGCGTTTCTGCCAATCTGCACAATTCGAACAGTACATGAACGATTACAAGCAATACCTGTTGTTGCTGGAGGATCGATTTACATTTCCGACACATTTCTTTAACGAATCAAAGGTAATTGCTTTTTTTTTTGAGTGCTTACTGGGAATTGGGCGTTGAGGGGCTGTATCTAGGTAACACGAATTTTCGATCTTTTGAACTTGAACTAATGGGTTTCCCCTGTGCGCCATTCTCATATGCGTAAAAATGCGGAATTTTATGAATGGTTTTTTCTCAAAATAAGGAATCGGAAGGGCTACCTTCGCCTCTTCAGTACTTTTATGCTGTAAGCCGATTGTAGCATCCAGGTTGACCTTGAGTGCCAAAATGTCTTAAGCGCATTAAATACAGGATCAGAATGAGGAAAGGAGGCAAGAATGAGGCAAAACGTTCCGATCCATTAAGTCATATACGTCTTAACACTGCAACAGGACCTCGTCAGCATGACGGTCGTAAGTAATGACATATGATTGCGAAATGTGGTCACTGACGAAAGCAGAAGAGACTGTAAGGAACAGAGGAAGGGAGAGCGAGCAGTGGAGCGAAGGACAATTCGTAGCCGAGTAAGTAATCTAGAGTTACCCCGATGTATGGACAGCGTGCAGAATTTTGATTTGACCACGGAAAAAGGCAATGCGAGGAACGATTTGTTGCATTGCCAGCTCTGATAACATATATTGCAAAATAATTCCAATGGAAACGGTCACTTGGCCAGATGCCAAAAAACGGCCGGTGTACAGGAGTTTTACTGGAAATATACAACAGTACTTAGGCGCAATTGCAGTCGCAGTGAGTGCATATTCCTCTTTATAACATCGGGAAATTTGCGGATTTTTGCTCAACCCATTTTGATTACCCTCATTTTTCAGGCATAATTGCAGGTTCAGTACAAATTTTTAATTTAGATTACGCCAGAAATGCGTATAGCTGCACTAAATTGGCTTTCTCAGCTATTTGTGAGATTCGATTTGCTACCAGAAACGCAACAAATAGCAATTTACCTATTCGATCGCTGTTTGATTAATTGCCAAAACACGCTCGAAGAGGTTTCGTTTTGAT